ATATTTTGTCAGCATATCGTTTCAACGCTCAGCTGCTTCGTGTTGACATCAAGATAAATGTGAGGTTGTTATTGAAATATGTGGTGTGTGTGTGTGTGTTGTGTTTGTGTGTGTGTCTTTGTCCCAGTTCAGCCCTGACAGCTAAACGCTTCACGAAGGACCAATGAGGCTAATGTACATTTGAGATAAAAGACATAGCAGGGCCTTCTGAGCGTATTTAAATATAACCTTGGCTTTCCTTTTATTGAATAAAACGGGGAGAGATGGCCAGATAGGCAGATGTGGAGAGAAAAGACATCTTGACAATAGATTGAGCTAAACTGTATCTCTGAATATATAAATGCTATAATAGGTCAGGTGGAAGTTGCCAATGTACCCTTTTGTCACCTTAGAAATGCTAATGCACAAAAAGGGCACTGCGCTTAAGCTAAAAGCCTCTGAAGTGACTCCAGAACACCAACGGACGTTTGCCAACGTGTCGCCGGAGTTTTTGAATCTGTGCAGAACTACATGGCAGAAGGTACACAGAAAGCGCTCTCCCTGCTCTGCTTTCTTTTACTTCAGGAGGAAGAAGATAAACTGCTGCATTAAGAAAGAGGCTTTGTTAGCAGCCCCCCCACCACAGCACATGGTGAACTCAAACCCCATGACCCCTGACCTCGCAGACCTCCCCGGTTACCTCTGGGAGTGGCTGACAACAGCCAGATTGAGTCAATAAACATCAGAGGATTCTGTATGTGCTCAGCGATCAGCCTAATTAAGCCAGAGTCCCGTATGGAGACCTTCAGAGACCTTGAGTGGACTTGAGGCCTCGAGGCTACAGACACAGCAGAACGGGGCTCAAACAAAGGACACTCGGACCAGTGGAATAGAGGGTGGATCAAAGTGCATGCACTGAGAAAAAAAAAAAAGGGAGTTTTATTTTATGTTGCAATATTTGAAAATGCGACTGTTTGTTATTTAAATATGAGCATGCTGTGTAAGAGCTATGGAAACACAAAGGTACACACAAAACGCCGCAAGCAGACACACACAGCACCCATCCAGAGTGATCATTCACAGTTTTATGTGCCCGTCCGACCGCTCCATTGGGTCACTGCACTTTGCAGGGTGCATACGAGAAACATATTTCTTATCACAAACAACTTCGTACTGAACTCTGGCATAAAAGTCGAGTTTCCTTCAAAATAAATGCTTTCTTGTTTGGTTTTGCATTTCCTCTCGGGCCTTTAAGATGGCAGCCGAAATGGCTCCAGCATCAGAAACGACAGCTTACAGTCCGTCCTGTCAATCACTCAGACTTCGTTGTCAAGCGGCCCCCATGCAGACCAGCTGACACCCTGTTAATCCGCGCTACAATCACAATGCCGGCACCGGTATTTGACAGTGATTATGGGAGCGAGTCTGTGTGCTGACGGACACCGTGCGCTGGGGTCGATGGCCAATACTCGACGTTCCAGCGGAGCGGGAGGCTTTCAGGAACCCACGGCGGCGATGAGATTTTGGAGACTGACTGAAAAAAGAAGTGAGCCGAAAAGTGAGAAGAGTTTAAACTGTCCAGTGACACAGACATACAATTTTTAGTGGTGCGGCAAATATGGATTCTGCCATTTTGTTTTTCTTCCAAAAGACCCGCAAAGTCACTTTATGACTGTAAATGTCGTCCTTCCGGTCGACCGGATGAAAGAGCCGGCTGTCCGTCTTTAGCGAGAAGACCGATGTAGGTCGCCGCGTTTGTGCGCGCGAGGGCCGCGTGAGCAACACGCGAGTAGAACGGAATACAGGTTCCCTCACATCTAAAGTAAATCAATACACACATTATGGCCCTCTATTAACACATGCATGTAATCCCTCATAAATGGAAATGGTGAATATGCATTACTGACAAGAGTCATTGGTTACGCCAGACAAGACAAGTGTGTGTGTGTGTGTGTGTGTGTGTGTGTACACACACTTGGCATTCATCAAGTCGAAACAAAACAAGCGGCAGCAGCTGAGTGTGAGAGTGTGTGTCTTGGCTGAGACAACACAGAGAGCGGATTCAAAGGCAGCCAAAGTAGGGTTCAGTGGAGACGGGGGGAGGGAGAGAAGAAGAAGGGGAGACACAGAAAAGTGGGACGAAGAAAGAGGAGCGAGAGAAATGCAGAAGGGAAGTTAAGAAGACTCATTCAGAGGGCCACTCAACCTGTGAACCACACGCTCTGCCCACACTTTCGCACTACGTGATGGGTTTTCTCTTTTTATTTAACTCCTGCACAATTTAACCAAAAGCAGAGTTGCCGGGGGCAACGCCATGTAATAACCTCTTTCACCAATCACACGAGCCGAGAGGTGATGCGGCGGGATGTAACAGCGTAACAGATTCTATCACAAAGTAAATCGTATCAGATCAACTGGTCATGTTTAAATAACCACAATGTTAGATCAGCAACAGTCAATGTAATACCAGTGAGTAATAAAGTCATTCCTTTAATGACTTTACATTGTTCATTAGATACTTCCACGTGGGACCAAAAACATCAACTTCAACAGATGTTGAACTCGTGCAGAGGACGAGGCTACTTAGCAAGGGCCAAAACCTCACGGCAAACGCCGTTTAATCGCCTCGACACCTCAGCGACTGGAAAGCAAATGTGGGAGAGGAACACAAGTAGGTCAGTAAACCGTGGCGGTGAAGACGCAAATGGAAGTTCGCATCCGTGCGCGTGTGAGGGCACGGCCCACTTTTGGCAGGGAAACCCCATTTGGTTAATACGGTCATGCCGGCGGGAGACGGGTACGGCGAGCTGGCGTGTCTGAGGAGATGTGCTGCCAGTCCCGCCGCCACTCCCAAGAGCCATGGGAAGGCAAACATAGAGTCGATCTCAAAGGCTTCTAAAGGGGGGGGGCTTCCTGCCAGAAATCACTCGCACCTGTCCTTCGGTCTCTGCCTCCCTTCCTCTCCCCGCCGCTGCTCCTCCTCCCAGTCGCTCCCTCTATCCCTTCATCCCCGCTACACCGTGCGAAACCTCTTCCTCGCTCGACATCGGTACCGGCCACTCCTCTCCCGTCTGTTTCAGCCGGTGCCAGGTGTAAAAGCTTCTGGCATCTTCGTCCTGCTCAGGAGCAGGGGGGGACCGGGGGGACGGGGGGGGACGGGGTCATCCTTCTCGGCTTGTGTTTCATTAGCATCAGACAGAAAGCATTTCTTCATTCAGTCTTGCAGTGAGTCTCTAAGTGTTTGTGTGTGTGTGGAGTGAACTAATAGGCTGAAGTTCTCCAACTTCAATACACACACACACACACACACACACACACACACACACACACACACACACACACACACACACACACACACACGAGCAAGAGCAAGAGAATACAAATATGAGAGTGTCCTTGCTATCTGTTATTTATTCAGTGCTTAGTTGGAGGAGAGAGCAGCGTTAACGCTTTGCTTTAATATAACGCCAGAGGGGGAACTGGTCTCTATTCAAATCTTTGTTATTGTCAGTCAAGCCATCCTCCCTTTGATTACCCTCCAAGTTTACTATACAACCTCATTCATCCTGTCTGACTTGCATTTTCTTTCTTTCTCTGCCACGTTTATCTTTGTGTCACGGTCAAGGATTCACGACTGCCAGACATTCCAGAGTCGAGGAGACCTCTCATTTCTACGTCTCTGGAGCAGGAAAAGAAACTCGTATTCCGTCTCAGCGGCTCCAGAGTCTCGCTCTTCATTCTGAAAAGGCAGGTAGATGAAAGCTCGCAGCGAGCGCGCTCGGATTTTGAGCTTACAGCATCGAAGGACGGCTAGCGGGACTCGGGCAGGTGTCCGACGCGCAGTGAATGGAGCCTGCTTGGGCCGCTCATTACAGAGGGACATCTGCTGCTGTCCGCCGCCCACCCCCCAGACTCCGCCCACAGCTTTACACTGGCGCTTTGATGCCCTGTCAGAGAGGGCGAGAGACTAGCGGGCGGCCAAACAAAACAACAGATACAAGCACACGCATGCACGCACACGCGCACACGCACACGCACACACACACACACACACACACACACACACACACACACACACGCCGGCTGCCTGAAATTAGAAGAAGAGGAATGACGTCTTTCACTACTGATAATATAAGCATGGATGAAATTGAGCCTTTTGTACCAGACGTTTTAATCTGCTGTCACTCTGTAGAACGTGCTTATTGGAAAATTATATTTTCCAGCTTCTGACTTTAAAATCGGTTTCTCCCAACGCGCTATAGAAGCATCACATTTTCAAAATACCCCTTATTCCATTTGCCACCAACAGAGTGGTGTTTGTATCCATCTATCTGAAAATAAAAAAACAATTTCCACACACAATCCTTTTTTAATAATCCACTTTAGATACAAATGTCTTGTAAAATCCTGCCATGGAAATTAACGGATTATTGCACTCTGCAACATATTTTTAAATGATTCCTCTGGAAATGCATGGTAACATTCCTTTAAGTGGCTAATTTGAATTGACTGAAATGGCATTTGCATTATTATTATTATTATTATCATTAAAAGACCTCGCAGCTCTTTAAAGTGGCGATACTGTTTACACTTTACTGAATGTCATCTTCCATTACAGAACTAATAGCCAACTTGCTCTCCTCCAAAAAACAAACGTACTGCACACCCTTGCGAGTGAGGAGGAGGGGGGAGAGCAGGCGGAGGGAGAGGCCATACACTGAATGTATAATTCATTGCAATGACTGAAACATTCTGAATTGATTCCGCGGGAGCTCGAGAGAACACATGTGAAGGAATGAATTACACGGAGACGAAGAAAGCAAAGGAGAAAAACCACAGAGGAAGTGCAAAACAGCGCCACCTGCCACCTTAATGCTCACGGTATCGTGAACCCAAGGCCGGCTCGCCGTTCGACGCCGATGCAACGTTCAGCTCTCGCGCTCTACAACGACCCCGTGACTCAACAACGTCACACACGTAACAAAAAAGGAAAAGAAGGAAAACCACACACGCCGCCTCACCTTTTCTTTGGAGGACCGTCCTCATTGTACTCCCGACTCCCATGGCCCTGAGAGCGCAGGGACCCATCTTCTTTGTGACTGCCCTTTGACCCCGAGCCGTTCAGCTGCCCATTGGCGAGTGAACCTGAGGAGAGAAGAACCAAAAGCCGTTACCAGAAAGTGTGCTTATTTTCTTTTGATTTGATGCAATACAGGAGGGCTAAAGACCGAGTAGATACATTCCTCCAACTGACCGTTTGCACAACATTAAAATAAAATAAAAAGAAGCAACTGGGATGAATACAGAGAGATCCAGACTGAACAAACGGAGTCAGCCTCTGAGCATCGGCTACCGATGGAAGAGTAATGACTAATAATAATCATACTAATAGTTTGTTCAGTGATGGGGACTGAAAGACAAACTCGCATACAGTCCTTCACATCACCTGTTGCCAAAACTATTTCAGCATAACTGTTGTGTTTCTGTCCACGTTTCCCCCGCCATGCTTTCCTCTGCAGACGTACGTGATGTCTTCCCCTTGACGCTGTATTTTTTAGTGCATGTATTTTTTTTACCCCAGGGCAGTGAGGGAAGTGAAATACTGCCAATTGTCAAACCCAATTGGCAGTATTTATTAAATATTCAGCGAGCGACACAGACAAACAAAATCAGCCCACAGATAGATTCTGAAATGAAAAGCAACAACAGGCATAGATAATTCAAATTAGGTCAAACAGAGAAGAGGAAACTCCATAGTAATTAAGGCAGACAACCAAATGAAATAGATAACACGAGCCACGATTTCATAGTCAGTTCCTCTCAGAAGGCGTCGCACAGCCCGACATGGCGTGAAAGAGCAAATCTATCTGGGAAACAACTGGGGATGTTCAAAACTTTTTAGCATTTCCACATATCAATATACATCAAAAATAATAACAATCAGAATGTGGGAGCTGAGAAAGGAGACCGAAGCCAACTGGAGCCAGAGGGGCTGAAACATCCTTGAAGCAGAGCTGAAAGCTAAAGATTTATATCACAGTGAACAATGCAGCCATCAAAACATTCGACAGCGACGATAATTCATCACATTCTTTCTTCCCATCTGCAGCTGGCCTCATCAAACAAAACCCCGGGGCCCCCACCGACTCACACACTCACACCCCCACCACAACGTCTTACAATCACACACCTTTCTGGGGGGGAGGGGGGGGTTTCAACGACGTCTGTGTTTATCGAGCTACACCATTCACCGAGCAGAGCTCCGCGTGTGAAACACTTAAACGGTTTCTAATTTAAGCTGCTGTGGTCCGTTTCAAACATTGTTCATGACTGACTGGACAACAGTTCATCATGTTGAGCAATTATTAAGATTCATTGCTTAAAAACAAATGATGAATCACTGAACGTCAAAGCCTCGAGGGCTTTGTTTAACCACGCCGCTGTCGGAAAACCTTTTCATTCACCTTTCTGCAGGCGTGTCGCTGTGCCCGAGGGATGCTGAGGCCGCCGCCTTCCCAGCGCGCCCAGTGAAATTCCTTTCGACTGATGCTTTGGAGGAAAGTGTCGATCACCCCGCATCAAAACCTCCCAACGGAGGGTGTCACAGCTACAGTGTGGCGCCGGTTATGATAAGTGGCAACTTGAAGGATAACCCATTAGCAGGGGGTGGGTGGGGGTAAAACAGCGGGGGGGGGCTTTCGAACAAGCCCAGGCATTGTGCGTCGTGCGAGAAGGATTCCTGGGAGGTCGGAGGCTGTGAAGTGGACACGGCACGAAGATGAGCAATTGTAGAGTTAAGGTAGATTTGAAAAAGGTATGCTCAATGAGTGTGTGAGCGCACACACACACACACACACACACACACACACACACACACACACACACACACACACACACACACACACACACACACACACACACACACACACACACACACACACACACACACAGGCGGTTAGTTTCTCCGGGCAGGTAGGTACCTGAAAGCCGGAGATATAGTCGTCAGACTTTCTGCGGTCAGAAAGCGAAACAGGCGCCGGCGCCCTGCAGGAAGTGCTTCATGTTTGTTGAGTCACTAAGTCTTTAGGCCGGTGAATCACTGCTTGAATGCCAGTTAGCACGAAAGCCTACATTCCTTTCATTTAAGATGATCAAGAGGTCCGATTAGGGAACGATATTGAAATGTCCCTAAATGGAAAAACTCCAAATTGCAACAAGGAATTAAACTAATCTCCATTTAGGAAATATATGAAAAATAGATTTGGATAGATTCCAAAGATTGAGAGAAATTGGGACATTCAAAATGATAATTAGCGGAATGACTGCAGAGAGGAGATAGAGGCTCTTATCACGACTGGGACAGTGAAACTTGCACCACAGCAAAAAAAAAATAGCTCATTAACTTTAATTGTGCTCAGAAAATGACTGACACATGATGTCCCCACAGAGCACAAACAAACAGGCACAGGCCTGTCCCCCCCCCCCCCTCTTCTCTCTCCATCTATCCTCCCCATTTCTCCAAAGAGTTGTTTGACATATGCCGGCTGCACATGAACGCCCACCTGAGGGCCGTAGCGGGGACTCTCGGGAAGGCCGAGGACTGGAGATGGGCGAGCGTGGCAACAGGCAATGAGCCAAAAGGGCCGATGCCTTGACCCCCCCGAATCCAGGCTCCGGTAGTGGAAGAGGTTAAAAGCTGGTATAGAAAGGGGGTTTTGGGCCTACAGGGGCGAAGCTAATGTGCCATCCCAATAGCTGCTCCTCAAGGGGAGGAGTTCTAATCAGATCTATGCACGCTTAACTAATGTTCACCTCAAAGCAGAAGGGAACGAGCAGAGGAACACGGGGTAACACAGCATATCACAGGGCTGAGGGGAGCCTATTAGTGCGAGCTGCACTAAGTGGAGCTATGGCGGAGTAAGACATGGTACGGCAAAGACGATCCCAATGGGGACGAGAGGACCCTTATAGGTTCTTGATTACACACACGAAACACACGCTTGATGCGGAAACGAACACAATGCCACACCTGATGTATAAGGAAACATAAGAGTTTTTAATATACTGTAATAACTAAGATGCACTATTTGTTTTCTCGCTTTTGCAGATAGATGGAAGTAATCGGTCTGACTTCCATCTAATAAATGAACAGGTCTTTACAATTCGAGGTAGGAATTGTTTCACTAGACCTTAATCTTCCTTTCCTTCTTGTAAACAAGAGCACAAACGGTGTATTTTATGCCCTTTGTTCCAGGTAATTCCCTGGGCCTGTATATAATTAAAGTGGTACAACAAAGTGGAAACAATGGGAAGCTGTATTTTAGGGACACTCCTAAGGGTTTTTATTCCCAGAAGCTTGTCGAAGGACAGGCAAATGGTAAAACGGACTGAGTGCCTGGCAGGAGAACTCCAAATAGCGCCAAATAAATTGCTCTTCCCTCCAAAATAGGACCCAACAACGCTGCATGACGCTTACCGCAAAGCAGAACAAAAGAGTAAAACAATGTGCAGTTCAGAAACAGAAACACCGCTTCTGCTTTGTGCAGTTTGGGGCCGTAAATCTGCAGCATCAAAGAGACGGCTGTGGTTCTCTAATGGCTTGAGCTGTTTCAAAAAAATAGAGTATGTGAGGACATAAAAGATGGAATCTCTTTCGATCTTTTGATTCTAAGCCTAAACTCTCCCCTCGTTTGGCGACTGGGACCTTCTCATTCATCTGCTGTTATCCAACCGTAACATCTTGTCCTGCTGGTATTGAGTAGTGGGCCCACACAGCGTTTCAGCTGCCACTCCGGCCACGGCGCAGGAAATACAGACCGACAGCGGAGACGGGCTGAAGGAAAGGGGACGACATGGGTTAAAAAAAAAAATATATATATATATATATATATATATATACATAAAAAAGGGGCAGGACCGATGGGCAGACGGACAGGGAGAGGCAGCACGGCGACGGGCAGAGAAATGGGCAAACTGGGAGCTCGCTCTCTCTCTTCAACCCCTTCTGGTTTCTGGCCGGCAGCCAGCTCCTCCATCAACAGCACTCAGAGAAATGGAGATGGAGGAGGGGCGGTGAGGGACGGGAGCTGGAGTCCAGCGGGAGGAGACGCCGAGGTAAGGAGGTTGAGGAAGAAACAGCGGCTTTAACGATTCGGAAAACAGGAGAGGAAGGGGAGGGAAACTGGGAAGGGAGGGTGGCGATGGCGAGAATGGAAACAGAGGGAAGCCGGGTTTGGGTGACAGATCAAGGCAGACGGGGCAGAGGACAGGAAGGACAAAGCAGAGGGAGGCGGTGAGGAAATAAGAGGGAGAGACAGGGACTGATGGGGAGGAGGCTACGGCGAGGGAGAGATTCATGGAGGAGATGGAGAACCGGGGGAGGGAGAGGGGAGCCAGGAGCTCGCAGAGAAGCCAGTAACCAGAGTCCTATTGATGTGTAATGAACCCTCCTATCGGGGGGGGGGGGGGGAACCGGAAGGACAGATGGAGACGGGGATGACACGGGGGGAAAGAAAAGGGGTGGGGAAGAACGTGACTGTGATGGAGCGGGAGACGGGCGAGCGGAAGCCGGGGCGCAGAGGGGCATAATGTCATTTGTTCAATAATGCAGGCGGCGAGCGGGAGAAGCAGGAAGTGTGATGGACACAGAGATGGACGGCTGCCAACAACGGGACGCAAAGTGGGCGAGGACGTGGAATGGTTGCTGGCTACGGACGGGGAGGGGGTGGAGTTACATACACACACGCAGCCGACTGACAGGCTGCCACCCCCCAAAAGAAAGATCGCCACCGCTGCCAGATAGTGACGGAGCGAGGAGGAGAGAGTGAGCGACGGATGGATGGAAGTACGTTGGGGGGCCGAGGGGACAAACGCCGCTTTAAGGAAGTATTTCTGCGACCGCCTTCCGTCGGATGACACCGATTTCCCAAAATGGTGGACGCTTATCCCAAAATAAATTGAAGCAGAGAGAACTGTGGCCAGATCTTGTGTATAGCAGAGCAAGAACTATTAGCTCATTCATAAATGAGACAAAATTGATGTTACGTTTTCCATAATTGTTGTTTTTTTTATTCCCATTCTCTGGTACAAGATTCTCAAATGTGGACATTTTCTGCTATTCTTAGCAGAACTATTGTACAGTAAATACATTTTCCTATTTTCTGACATTCTGTCGACTAAACGGAAAAACTCATTGACAAAAGAATAGTTGCTAATAAAAAAAATAGTTGGCGGCACCCGAGCTCTAATTTATTCCTTTGTAAAATAGTAAACAAATGTTGTTCAAAAAAGCCTTTACACTGCCACTCATACTATCCAGAACCCACGGCGATGCCTTAAAATAGCATAATGTGTGCAACCAAAAGTCCCAAACATTTAACCTATAACAATATCAAACAGACAAAAGCAATGAATCCTCACATTTGACAAGCTGAAACCTTTGACTTTTCATTTTTGCTCGTGCAAATCACCCAATTCCAAAAATGTTCTGCCGATCAATCAATCCATTAAGCGACTAATCATTCACAGTGCAGTCATCTAGCCCATTATCTTCCCGAGCTCATGCACGTGCCTGGCTTCAAAATGGCTGAACGTTTCATAATAATCCCCATACGAGACCGACGACGTGAGCCCGCACTCCTCTGGTCCTCCGGAGCAGCAGGCGCTGCCCATTCGGGACGTTACGCACGCTGAGCCTGATCTTCCAAAATGGCCGACAGTTCCACCGCAATGTCTACGCGAGCCGGGGGGGACTGCGCAGCCTCCAAAGCCTCGCTAACCCGCGGCGCTCTAAAAGCAGCGGGGCCCGTCTATTCAGCCGGGCTCCCTTTTGTGTCGGCGAGGGGGCCGCCGCCGTTACCCCCGGCGCGGTGGGCCGCCTGCGCTTTGTAATGAGTCATTTTTATTCAGGCGATAAGGTCAGCTACCCGCGGCGGCTTAAAAGGCCCAGAGGAGCTCTGGAGTGGCGGCTACGAGATGCCAGACAGACACACAGAGACACGCCGGCTGTAGGGAAGCGGGGGATCGGGGGATCGGGGGGGGGGGGGGGGGGGGGGGGGCCGAAAATTTCTCCCTTTTAATCAAAAAGGAAGAAAATGTGGTGTGTCTAAAAACCCTGATGAAGGAATAAAAAAACAAAAACCCCCCTTGGGTAAAAAAGAGAACCCCTCGTTTGTGAGAGAAAACAACCGCGCCGCTTTTCTCCTTTTTTCGGCAAAAATCAGGGGTGGGTTCTTTTCTGTGGGTTGTGAAATATATGAGGGGGTCTTTTTTTTTTTTCCCTCCCGTTTCCTTTGCTTTCGGTGTCTGGGTTGAGTTAATGTCAGCCGAGAATAGCTTCTGAGGCACGTGTGAAGTTCAAGATCTCCGCGGTTGGATGGCAGAGGGCGTCTTTTGTGTGTGTGTGTGTTGGAGCACCGGTGTCAAACAAAGACACAGTAGAAGCTTGGTTTGAAACATGCAGTTCACCCCCCCCCAACCGCATTCGCCTTGCATTGTTTCAGGTGTAAACAGCCTTAACAGCAATGCACCTTGACTGCTACTGTAGGAGCTTCCACTTTTTAATTAATAATTATTAATTACTCTCCGTGCATCTATTCGTCCATGTTTTAATGAGTCCAAGGATGAAAAGACAATCCTCTCCTTTCACACAGGTGTTTCCTGTGCGAGAATCGAGTCCCATCGATTGATGCGTACGCAAAATTGAAAAAACTGGTGGAAAGTGCTTCTTTTAAAGGAGGCCACAGTGAGACAGCAGCTCGCTGCCCACCGACCACAACAAAGGGAAAATGAGGGTCCTTGATCATCTGTTCTCCTTGGATAAGTCAAATTAGTTTCTGTCGTCAGAGTAAACACGCTTAGTCTCCGCTTACAAACAGACTAATAAAACTGTCGCCTTCAATTAAAAGGAATGAAGAGCGAGGCAGCCGACAGAATTGGCAACTCTGACATTTACGCCACAAAATGCCAGGGCAGCCGGTTCTTTGCTTTCATTTAATCAAAACAAGGCAAAAGTTTTCTGCATGTCAAATTGATAGATCGCCTGCAGTGGTGTCTGCCTTTTGTTCAATTTAAATGGACTTGAGCCACGTAAAGATGAGTACTGGATAAATGTTTTCTAACATCTATATCTACTGTCAGAGCAAAGTGGTTGATCAAACTTGTTCCTGGGCTGGCATGCAATGGTACTGGATGTTCAAAGATCGGTCTAAACCTCGGACAACCTAAGGTAACCGTACCATTCCGAATAATTTGCCTAAAATGCCTATCCAATGCGTACCCAAAGTAAATTGAAACGCCCCCTCAACACTCATCATCACCGTAACAACCACTCGTATTGAATGATAGCAGCAACAAACTGAAAAAGAGGGATTTTATTTCCACCTACATATTTTTTTTGCAAACCGGTAACTGAAGCTGACTGTAGTTGGGACTCATTGGATGACAATCAAAGGGGAACACAGCATGAAGCCCTACCAAGATGTCACAACGTTACCACAGGAAATGAATATTTGAAAAATAGCACCAAACGTGGTCACATACACATAAAAAGGCTGCCAGTCTCAACATTTGGACTCTATGAAAAGTGACCCTGAGACGTGCTCACTACAAGCATTGCTGACACTTACCATTGGAGTTTGGGGGTCCATCACCGTCGAGCTGCCGTTTCTGTGCGCTCCTAAACTCCTTTAGGGACAAGTAAAGCACTTTTCGCATAACCCGCTCCTCTGACCACGGGATCCCATCACTGTCATCCTGCGGAAACATCCAGAGAAAAAGGACGGGTCAGCATAACGTAACATTAACTGACTGAAAGCAGTAAAGTTGTTTTTTTCTTTCATCACTTAAATAACAGCAAAGGAAAAAAAAGTGTATATCAGTCGTGGTGCCAAAACAAATCTGAACAAGCCCCCTTTGGCCACACAAGGAAAACGTAACACAATCGTAAAACATTGTGTAAAATCATTCCCTGCCATTTCTTGCTGTATCGCGACATTAGCGCGACACAACACTAGGATAACACAGCGTTAGCTTGCAGCTACACACAGGGCAAAGCATTTGCATAACAATGCGCAAAAGGACTGCAGCTCCGCTCAATGCCACTATAGAAGAGCGATGTGGTAATGAATAGGTAGAAAGCATCACGGGACGGCGAGTTCATGTGTTGCTAATCTCTCCGGGCGCGAGTGAGACAGAAGAGGTTATTGTCAAAGAGGTCACCAGAAGTCTCACACACACACACACACACAACAATCCTTCCCCGAGACATGGCCAACATGACGGCAAAATGTACAGCATATTAGAACCTCATTCAACACACGACATTGCTCGCACTGAGAACTTCAGCGGCTGAATAGAAACAACATTCATCTGCAACGAGCAACGTGAAAAAGGGTCTTTAGCGAGCGTCCGATAGCGATAGCCGCGCTTCTCTTCCCCCTTTCCTCTACACGCATTACTGCCGCAGCTGTGTTTGATGTCGAACAATCCTAATGACTAAAAGAAATGACATTAGGACATGAGCGACAACAAAGAGGTATTAATAAATCATCGCAACTGGAAATAGCGTTGCTCTAGTCGAGCTCTGGGACGTGTTGATTTCAACTGGAATGGCTGAAAATAGAAGACTAATGCATGTTAATGAATTAAACCACAAAACGTTTCTCATCCAGCAAGCACCGTGGGTCCAGTGCTGACACGCTGTGATGATGGATAAAATGATGCTTTCTGATCAGTGCGAGCGCCTCACGGCTTATCATAGCTGCAAAACGTTGAAATGAACACACACACACTCTGTGTGAGTGCCCGTAGACCAAGATGAGCCTCGCTGTGTCACCACTGTTTACGGTCTAATTCACAGAAAGCCAAATTGAAAGCCACAGGTGGGTGAGGGTTTCAATCACAGTCAAATCACAAAGAATTTGGTGTGCACGGCTCCTGGATTCCTACGAAAAATGATGCGACCTCATTCACTCACTTGATTCATTTCACAAGTCCAAATATTTTCTGACAGGGCTGAAGACTCGGTTTGTTTATCGTGCTTTTGTGTTGTTCGCTCTTCGTCTCTTCAGCAGATGAAAATAAGCTCGCTTGGGAGGATGAGGCCTCAGCCGAGCTAAGGTGGTGAGTGGGGGGGGGGGGGCAAGATTAAAAGCTGATTAAAATTAAAAGCACGATTAAACGCTGCGTGTCTGCACATGATGGAGCGGATTGGTGACAGCCCGCATACGGACAGGAAGCCGAGCCACGGTGGAGGTGGCGTGCAGCGCGCGCCGCGCGGCCGCGACCGTCACACTGTCACTGCCAGCAAGAGAGGTCGTGCAAGTATTCATTTATTCCATTTTCCCCTGCGGTTAATGTCATCTAATCCATTCTGCGCATGGGTCGGCTGCGCGTGCACAAGCACGTGTGCAAAAGCCTGCCAGGGAAGCAGCAATTACAGCTCACAGTGAGACAGCTCACTGGCACCCTTCCCCTCGTAGAGTGTCACAGGGCCAAATGCACGGTGACACACATATGAACACACACTATATCTGTGGGTTACAAACCCAATATACATATAGTGTTTCGATTGCATCCTTGTCCACACACACACACACACACACACATACGCACGGCTGTACTAAGAAGACAAAAGAAGTGCTGTAATCTGCATTTCTTTTTCCTCAGGTTTCCTCACAGCGGCCCAGCGAGAGTTCCTGCTCCAAGTACACATAGCAACAAAAGACATCATCTGAGCAGAAGGGAAGAAAATGCTGAGTGACGTTTCATCAGCTGAGGGGGAAGAACAGGTTTTAAAACTCGGCTCTATTACAGCTGCCGTGCCCTGAAACCTCGCCGGGGGTCATCTCGGGTCATCTTGTAAATGGGTTCTCGCCACAAACACTGCAGGTTAACTATTTTTCTGACCTTCGAGGGGGTTTCCCCATCTCAAGGCGTTGCTCTCCTTTCGCTGTCCACAAAAGCGAGTTCCCGCCTACATCTATGTGCTCTACAGGTACGACAATAAGTAAATAAAGAAGTGATGGACAGGAATAACATGCAGAATCCTTCCGGAGACGCTCTTGCTTGCCAGAGCGCTAAGTGAAGCATGACAGAGGAGGGGAAACATCTACTCAAATACGCGATGAGACCAAATCGTGTTGCATCGCAGACTCTCAGACAGCGCAGTGTGCATATTTCTGAGGTATTGCCAGAGCTCTTTAGAGACAGTTCTTACACAGAGCAGCCGAGTGCTACCTGGCACCGACACACACACACACACACACACACACACACACACACACACACACACACACACACTAGACCCCGTCCAGCTCCCATCAGGCTGGTGGAATCCCACTAATGAGCGCAGGGACCTTTTCTGTGCACACAAGAGTGTGTGTGTGTGTGTGTAGCCCAGTGATGCATCAGGAGCACTATGTGCCTACTGTCACCCGCCAACCCAACCAACCCCCCCCTATGGTACACACAGGTAATCCCACCGACCCGCAGAAAACACACAAAGACACAGGCGGATACCTTTTATGCATCCATGGAGTTACTGTGCTTTAAGGGCATGCCTCTACCTCTTCCACTGTCTCACACACACACACGCACACGCACGCTGCAACAACGCTGGGGTAATTCAAACATCTTACTCCACAAGCCGTCTACCAAAACACGAATGGAAATCTTCGCTACTCAAAGTCAAGCAAAAAAGAAAAACTGTTTCTTCAACAGTGAAAGAGCAAATGTTAAGTATAAAAGGATAAAAAGTCAAGAGTCTGAGCGGCGTCAATCCATCACTGCATCTGTATCTGCTGGTCTAACTGGATGAAAAGGGGAGCTGGTTCCACATCATAACCCCAGGCGTACTCAACATTCCTCCCCCCACAGCAGACAAATCCAATAACTGACAGCTGATGGGGAAACAAGTGGATCGCATCGACTGCGTAATAGACAAAACGGGAAGTGGGAAGGTGGAAAGAGAAAGTGGGATACGTAAGAGTTTAGTCAGTACGGCAGAACAATCAGCAGCGCAACACCAGCATTCTGAGAAATACTCAAAGTATGAGTGAAATTTCCTACTGTGCTTTTATTCCCACTGTTCCTTTAAGGGGATCACAGGGCCGGTGTGTTGTGCTCTGGCTGTGTGTGTGTGTGTGTGTGTGACACAGAAAGACACGCTAACATCAGCTCTGCAGCAAACACAAGTTCACTGTACAGAAGAGATGGAAACCAGAAATTTAAAAAGGGTCAAATTAAGGTTCATTCATAATGATATACACTATATACACACATACAGTCTCAAAAAGAAGAAAAAAGTATATATATACACACTACCTTTGAGCTAACGCATGTAAACATTCACGTGCACATGTAACTGTGTGTGGGTGTGTGTTCTCACTGGCTGTTCTATTATTAGCGCCGCGCTGCTGTAGACTGTGCGGATGTCAAGGCAGAGGAATGTGGGCCAAGCTCCAGCTGCAATCTGCTCTACAAAAACAGGCCCAAAACGTGTGTTAGAATAACACACGTTTCCCTGCAGGAGGCGGGATGGAGAGATGGATGGATGAATCAATGCAGGAGAAATGTTATTTTAACAAAGCTTGGGTTGCTGTATCCAGTAGTCGTGACTTCAGCCTTCACCCGGCTACTACCCGCTTTCCGCCCCATCTTAAGCTTTCCTTCTTTCTTTCTTTTACCAACACGTGGGCCCCAGATGACTGGCTGCAACACCATCACAGCTCGGGGTTCGCAGGTGGTGCTGGCGTCACAATGACGCGCCCACAATAATAAAAGGGCTACAATGTGCACACATGTGCAACACTGCTGCAGCATTTCATGAGAAGAAGTCACAAAATAGAAACCCGACAATTTAAAAAGGTCAGCCCAGGTCATCGTCCTTTGTTTTTCTGCTGGCGTTTCATGTCTTTCTCCAAAAAAGCCCCCTGGCGCCAACAAAATACGACAAGCAGTTCAAACGTCGGCTCGATTTGCAAACAACCGACGCGGTGGTTTTAAAACAGGTTAACTTCCCCAACTAAGAAGCACGCGTTTGCTTACAGAACTTGCATTCCAACCCTAACTACATCCTGGTTCTTCACGTCCCTAATGGCTTCAAGGGGACCGGATGCTGAGGTCAGCTCGGAGTTTAGAGAATAGAACAAATGGAACAAGGTTGTGGGGTTGCCGGGGACGGGAGGCCCTATATAATCGCCTCATTACTCCAAAAGCTCACTGCATCGGAATGTGTGCGTGTGTGTGTGTGTGTGTGTGTGTGTGTGCAGCCACAGGGCCTTCCCTTTAAACTAGCCAAGCTGGGATAGCCCCAAAAGCTAGAGTAGAGGGATCCAGAACGCTTCCATCTGCAGGAGAGGAGAGGAATGCCACAAGTGAATCAAACCACAGATTTTCCATAAGCTGACATGAAATTGCACAAATTGTCCAAATCGACTTGATCCAGACAGAATCTACATCTCAGAACAGCCACATTCAGATGGTCTAAGTGGAAGAAATTGGTTGCGTGACCACTTTCTCAGCCTGTTTTTCCTCCCTGCACCTACGTATGCAGCAGCCGAAGGCTTCTCCCACAGAACAATGCCTTCAGTCTGCGGCCCGGCCATGATGGACTCTGCTGCAGAGCTCGGTGTCACAGACACACAAACCCCGAGCGTCTCCGCTGTCAACCCTGTCAGCTGTCTGCACACTCTCTCACACACACACACACACACACACACACAGTCTGAATCCATCTGAGCATGCATAAGTGA